GTCCTGCCCAACAGGTAGCAGCCGCCATTGGTACAATCTGACTCCACGTGTTCTTGGGGTAAACTTGCAAATGCAGAAAACACAAAGAAACAGTGATTTGATAAATATATTTACTGATCGCTGTAAAGTAGAGGTGAGATTACAATATCTCTGAACAAGGTAAAAATGTATGACGATATGCCCACCGTTTACTGATCGCTGTAAAGTAGAGGTGAGATTACAATATCTCTGAAGAAGGTAAAAAGGTATGACGATAGTCATGTTCGAAATGATAAAAACAAAGTTTCATTTCTTGTAATATTTCTCCGCCTTAGGTGCAATTACACTGACAAGGAGGGCCGTCACTGCAGGATGTTGAGAATGTCCTCCCATTCGATCGTGCATCTCTCTTTACATGTCCATAGTGCTTTGACCAGGTCCAGATAGGTGGCCGAACTGCCATTCAAATGCTTCCATTTAGTGAGCATAATCAAGATCTGCATATACATTGAACATGGGTGTGCAACTCTGCCCTGTTGGATAGCCACAACGCTGAGCCCAAGTTCAATCCCGACGTGCTCAAATCCCATCCCGATATGTCTCGCAACAAGTCCGAGATGTCGTGGAGTTACATGAGTCTTCAGTCTCTCGTTCACACGGCGTGTTGAACCTACACAGAAATCTGTATTACTTGATGAAACACCAATTCTACTACAAAGGCTCACATCAACAGGTTTCTTTCTGTTTTGTGTGATTGACATGTGGTATCGAATTAACCTTTATTTATCTCCAATGCTCATCGATATTCGAAATAAGCAATACAAATTGACAGAAAAAGAAGTTGCACATATCCTCCCATATACATATATGTCATCATAATAACGATTAAAATATGTTGAAAGTTTATGCTGAACACAAGGCATATATTACCAAATTTCTGAAATGAAATCTTCAAATTATGATAAAGAATGTCGCACAAAATTATCAATTTAATGGGCAGTTATAGTAAACGCACCTCTGCTTATGATCTGTTGGATGTAATACTCGATCAGCCCTTTGCTTGACTGGTGCATTCTCTAGAACGAAAAACACACACTATCAGTTGTATGTTGAGATGATATGCTGTAGTATTTCCTGAAAGGCGTTGAACTCAAATACAGTATTATTCTACAGGTGGGATCAAACTTCCCCACTATAACACTTAATATGGGATGATAAACTTCCACACAATAATACTGAATATGGAATGATAAACAAAGACAATGTCTGCCGGAACAGGAGTGAGTATATAAAGACTTTGAACCGTATGTTCGTTACCTTATATCCACTATTAAGCATATATACAGAATGCCACACGTGTAGTGTTAAATGATGTGTACATATATTACTACCATTATTGCACCTTAATGAACATATCTAAAAGGGCGTTATTAAGACGTACCTGCCACTGAAGTCCGGAGAAGCACGAAGAAATATTCCCCATGCTGCCTATACATATACACCACTCTGTGTGTTCAACTGGTATGACTAAATCAAAAACTCTAAGCTATATGTGAGCATTGCGGGAAGCCCCGGCACGAGAGGGGACACAACGTCTCACTCTCTCTCTCGCAATAGCTTCAACCAAAGATTCAGGAATTTCGGATTTTCGGATTTCAAAACTGATATAAAGGCGGAGTTTGGCAAAATGGTGTGTATGTGAAAGAGATTATAATAGACCTATATGGGGGTTATACCTCTTATCGTGCATTTTAAGTTTGTTGTCAAATACTATGACCAACAATAATAAAGAAATAACATTACAGCAGTGTTGATAATTGACGTGTGGTCACAAAAGCAAGATGCGGGTAAGTATGCCGCTTACACATGTAGATAAGAGAGCAGTGACAGCTTCACTGATATGCCTTTCTCCACTACGTCCAGCTGTTCAGTCAATAACCAAGCCAGCCCTTTCAAGGTGTCATGACTTATATGTTAGTCTTGCAACGAAGACAATAGACATGGGAATATTGTCACAAAAATAGTCTTTTAAAAAGGATAATAGGTCCCAATCTAAATAAGTATCTAGAAATCATGACAATATCTGTGATAATGCAAGACAAAACTAAATAACATGTTGTGTACAAAAGCTGTGGTACATTGTGGGTACTTGGTGACCTGGTCAAAGTGTAGGATATATGTGGGCGTTATTTTGGCATTGATATGGAATACCGGCTAGCATAAATAGGTAGCGTGTTTAAGGAACATATTGCTGTCTACAGCTATTTTCTATATATTTTAGGCTTTGTAAACTGCAATCAGCAGCCTAAAAACTGAAAGAACAAAACCATAGAATGGATCCGAACTTGATGTTAGACGTGTCAGCAATACGAAAATGTCCATGATTGGACTATAATCATGATTGGATCTTCTTCAGCTGTAGTCAAGTCGTCCACACGGACAGACGGACACACTATCATACCTCTTCCAAATGTCCACTGCAAGGTCCACGTATCATGAATTTTGTTGACAATAATTTCACATACATTCTAATCGTTGACTTTCTACGCCTTGTAAAACATCTTTCAAACGCAGGTAATGTGATGATCAACAACATTTCTATTAACAGTTCGTTCGTTACATCCATTTCAGTTTCCGGAATTTCAGATTGCGAATGACAGAAGAACCCAATTAGTTATCACTTGCACATTCTTCCGCGTGAGGAGCGGTAGGGTAGTCCAGTGGTTATAATGTTCGCTCGTCACGCCTAAGACCCGGGTTCTAATCCTCACATGGGTTCAATGTGTGAAGCCCATTTCTGGTGCCCACCGCCGTGATATTGCTAAAATATTGCTAAAAGCTGCGTAAACATTACACCTTCACTCATTCTCTCTTCCCCGTGTACATATGAGTGACTAGTTGTTTCGAAGGACGGATGGATAATTAGCAGTTGCTCAACTTTAATGTCTCTCTGGGATGATAATTGTAATAATGTGGTCTCCAGCTAGAGCTGCACTACAGCGTTTCTATTGCTGTTGATATGTAGACTATCTGTGAAACAACTGAACATGTATGTTAAGCTAGGGCAGATAAAATGTGTAGCTCTGAAGCCCAGATGACAGTAAACCATGCATGCTGACGTTATCTTATATAATTAGTGTGAATCGTAGCATGCAGAAAATGTAATCTTCGATTCGCTGATGTTATTATTCAGTCGCTCAGGAAAGATAAATTTCGTTGCACAGACCAAACCTAAGCACCCACCCATCGTCAGCTACACAGAATTATAATTCTACTACATTTGTTACATGTAGGTTACAGTCAACGTCGCATATCATATCACACACGAGGTGAAGAAACGATATATATATCCTGTTACTATATATGACATTTGTTCCTTTCTCAATACCAGCTTATCATCAGTTGGTGTGTGGCATTGTAAAGGAATGACATTTGGAAACACACGTACTTGACCTCATGGAATTCTTCAATTACGTCATCTTTAAATAAATATATTTTCATTCATACTCAGTGGTTATAGGCTGCTTATCAAATCTTCTCAATGTCAACACCTCATGGAGTAAGCTGTCTACTTCAGATGCCCTAAAAGCGTGTTTGATACCCGTGAAGATGAAGATGAAGCTCAGGTTGTAGAAAAAGGAGGTACGTTTTAACCACAAGTGACTATAGTATTGAGACGAGAGACGTGTGTGTGATGAGGTTTTAGTTTACTCGAAAACCCTAAAATCGTGTGGGATAACATACGATATGTTGATGTTGAGCAGTATAATCAGTCAATTGAAGTTATGGTGTATCAATTGCCTGAAATGACCATTGAATGAAATTAAAACACCCTTGAAACATATATATATGTACTTAGTCAACATTGTTTTCTTAGTTTTCAAACTTCGGGCTTTCCTCACACATGGGGCTGACACGCCACGATATAACTGTAATACTGTTAAAAGTGGCGTTAAACCCAACTTACTCACTCACTCTTAGTTTTCAGAACAGAGCACAGAGAGATGAACTAGTGGCCAGTCTTGGTGACGATGTAATAATTATTTATCTCACAATAATGTCTGTTGCAGGAAATAAAAAACACCACGCGTCCAGTGCGTGTCTGTTGATGGGCATTTATTGAAGCATGTATTCATACATATAGATGCCACGAAACTCATGCAGATATAAGACACGGCAAAACGACAGTAATTTGCACGCAATATCCTTCCCTGGATGTCACAACTAACTAGACTGAGAGGTAGTGCATGCTGTACACCATAAATCCGAAAATCCGGAAATGTACAAATGACAGACAAGAACTTCATACATTTCCTGAAGATTTTTCTGCAGAATGTCTCTTTCACACAAATGAAATATAAAAGGACCACAGTGTATTGTATCCTTTCTGGGATGCTACTACAAATCTGTTGCAATGGTGCATAGATATGAGTGCAGTCACAACTGTATTTACACATGTTTCGTCATTACGCCAATCTTTTCCGCTATCCCTTTGTAGTCAGCATGCAAAAGCGTTCACATATTATCCTTCGATAGTTGTCTAAATGTTTTATGGTAAAAGTGTAGAGGACTGGTTAGGATAACAATTTCCTTGTCTGTGACGGGTGCCACCAGTGGGACAGGATACCTTTTCGCGAACTTCTGGGATCATCTCCATGTGATTTCATACCTGAGAACCACTACAGCCCATGACCAGTATTTGCAAACTTCCAACCAGGAAATATTCTTACAAATAGAATACAGCTACTACAGAAAGTACAAAACTAATTATCGCCCGTAATCAATCAGCAAGATTCTACGCCAACCCTTCTTAAATTATTCAAAATAAGAGACAACAGATAAACAGTACACTTCACAGACTGTTCAATCGTGCCCGCAGTCTAATCATTATGTGAGACGCATTTATGTCTCCGGATTTTGGGATTACGGATGACGTTTACGACACATGTAATCATCCCTCGCTAGTTCTTCCTCAAATATCACAAGAGACAGAAAGACAAGTTATTACAAAAGGCATCACAGCTATTTATTAAAAGCATTTATTCTCAACACATACAAATAGAATCACAATGTATTACAAACGGAAAAGATATTACTGTTTAAATGAAGAGTGTTCAGTGTGCAACTTGAGGAAACAGAAAATCATTCCGATCAGTCAGGATCCCAAATTATCTAAATAAGCCTCAGTGAACCTAGCATCTCGACTCGATATTTCAAAGCGGGAACCCAATCAATCAATGATAACTGTACATGAGAAGAGTGTTCAGTGCAGCGCTAGTATATGAGATAACATAAATGTAGGCATGATTTCTCTGTATGTGGTCGGGGAAACTCAGTGAAGCATTACTTATATACCCACTCATGTATTCACAGCGTAAAGCAAGACAGCGTCATGTGAAAACAGCTCTCCGACTTGATTACACAGACACAGTGGACGGTCCCTGAAGGATGTTGAGAATGTCCTCCCACTCAATGGTACACCTGTCATTGCATCTCCACAGTGCTCTGACAAGGACCAGGCTGGTTGCAGTTCTCCCGTTCTTCTCCTTCCACTTTGTAAGCATGTGCACAACCTGCATGTATAGTGAATAAGGGTGTGCAAACGTGACTTGTTCGATAACCACGAGAGTAAGTCCAAGTTCGATGCCAACAGACTCGAACCCGATCCCGATGTGACTTGCAACAAGACTGAGATCTCTTCCAGATACTGGAGTATCCAACATCTCGCCATTTACAGCATATGCATGGTTCCAGTGTGTTGGCACTACAACATTAAACTCACAATAAACTACCAATTTACTTGTGTACATTATGTTTGATAGATGATGTAACAACATTCGGTTCGCTTTCATTAATCCAAATTATTTCACTAAACAAAGAAAAATACGATACATACATACAGTAATTTAAAAAGAAATTAATGGGGTACACATAGAACTAAACTTCCTAAAATAGAATTATAAGACAAACAGATTGTTTAAATAAAGAACTAAAGGATGACTATGCTTGTCATAAGAGGCGACCAGCGGGATCGGGTGGTCAGGCTCGCTGACATGGTTGATGCATGTTATTGTATCCCAATTGCGTAAATCGATACTCATGATGTCAATCAGTGGATTGTCTGGTCCAGATTCGATTATTTACAGACCACCGTCATATAGCTGGAATATTGCTGCGTGCGACGTTAAACAAAAAACAAGCAAACCAAATAACAAACAATGTAATTTAACGTACATGTAACTCTCTCTGTCAGATTGGGTTCATTTTGGCAGTTTATCGAGTTCTCTGTGTTGGACCGCCTCTGGAATCGAATAAACACAGTTTCAAACACGATTGATAGCTACGCCATCACAGCAATAAAACAATAAAGATAATCTTACATAAACTAAACAAGACAATGCAATGACAAATTCACGTGAACATGTACACACGCATTACACATATTGACACGCTAAAGTTCGAATAGGGAAAGCATGTGAAATATGCCTATATACATATGTATACATAACATCTTGACCCACCTGATATCGGGATATTGGCCAGCATGAAACAATATTACCCATGCTGTCTGTAATTATGCCTCTACTTCACACATGTGTATCCCACAGCCAGCTGACACAATCTGATAGTTTCGACTGTACTGACGGGCTTTATATATCGGACTAGCATAAGGGGATTCCCATTGTTGATTCACGTAGATTAGCAGTCACCGGCATATGCTACAGTCAACTTACAACCGATTTTCAGATCGCAGATCGCGGAGTTCGGACTTTAGGATTTCATATCAGGCTGATGGGTATGGGTAAAAGAGGCCGGTGATGATGCAGGTGAAGGGACAAGAAGTAGCCCTGAAACGTCGTTACAAATAATAGAGAAATAGTGATCTCATGTCTGTCTTCTTGTAGGCTATTCAACAAGTCATATCGATATTTGTCCTTTCTTGGCCATTTGTCATGTTCAGGTGCAGTAAATAATAAACCTGTTTATGTTGCCTTATGTTCAATGAAGTCAGATGGTAAATTGACATTGGGATGGTTTTATATCCAAGTTTTTGACGCGTTGGCACAACACAACGAAGATCCAGTTAAAATTCCAATCAAGGGAACAATGTCTGACGTCATGTGTCTCTCGTCGTGTAATTGAATAAGGCTCCGTGTGCCACAAACGATTATTATATTTAGGCTAAAGAGTGGCAATGGTGATTGGGATTATTAAAGGTTGTGTTTACTTCGATAATAATTTGTCATAAACCTGGTTTAATACTTTTAATTCATCCAGAGATATTGACCCCTAGATTCAACCAAAATGAGCTGATTCCTTTTATAGCTACCATTTCACTACTTGGTGTATTCAGTTCACTTGTTCATTCGTCTCCTTCATCAGCTCAGGTGTAGATGAGCCTGTCGTTCTCATTTTCCTTATCACCAATACACGGTATTCAGAATTTGATAAATACAAGAACCATTAAATACTTCCCATCACATTTCCTTCGAGGTCACGATTACAAATGCTTCTGTCTTCAGTCTATGTTACAGACAATAACTGAATAAATACTAAAATAGCCAACTAATAGTATACACATTCAGATATCATCCGACGTAATGTCTTTAGGGGTTTGCACATAATATTTTCGGCCCAGAGCAATATTAACAAGGAATACGATATGTATAAATCGGCATGTGCAGGAATCTGACACTAGTATATGATACATTAAAGGAGAACCTTGTTTAAACCGATCGATCACGATAAAAATCCTTGATCCGAAAATCCGAACAAGGCTACAAATTCATGTTGCTGGAGGAACTGTTCATACCGGAATGTACACATTGTGTCAGGGCTTTGCGGGAAGGTTGGTTGTCTATGCGGTGTCATACTCAGGTTGATCACAGTACGTAGGAACAAATATGTTGCTGTGCTGATACAGAAAGATATAATATGAATTACATATGTCAGTAGCGGGATGTATGCAATTTAACGTGCTGCATTCATTTGAAAATTTGAAGAAGAAATGAAGGGGGAATATGAGCGGTGAATTGTGATATTGAGGAAATGATATCATAAAAGTGAGCACCAAAACACTTGAACTTGTTTAGTTTAGTTTTCAATAGTGCATAAGATAATCATGCAGTGATCAATACGTAGTGTAAAATTGACTTCCGCCAGAATAGATACAAATGATACCTTACTAAGATATGAGTACATAACGAAGAACTTCCTTTGAACTAATTGTCTAGTGGAACGTTCTACTGTTTGGTTGATGTGGATGTGCATGGGAAGCAGTTCAGTCACCTCGCATCTACTCCCGATGCCTCCCGCGAAGACTGGGGGAGCATGTGAAAATAGAAGCGACAGAATCCTTTTCATAATTATATAAGAAAATCTGCTAAAACTTCATCATTATCAACTGAAATTGCAGGTTAGAAAAGGTATGAAAAATGGTTTATAACATTGTCCCTGTATCTCTAATAAACTCGGCATTATTTGGTTAAGATATCGTACCCACCTCATATAGGTGAAGTGATCATCAGAACAAGTGTCAGATATTTAGTAACTGGTGATTGAAGAAACTTGAGGTAAGTAACTACAGGTTCGGTTTGAACCTACAATGTCTGATTGAAGGTGTCGGATTTCCAGTCCAATAAAGTGAAATGTTCAATTTACAAAAGAAAAGATATTTACCAGGACACAGGTTTGCTTGAATGGCTTCGGACGTCTTTCATATATGTGCTCTTAAGGCGGGGCTGCTTTATCGAAAATGTTATGTAAATACTATTTCAATTAATGTATCAATCTTTCTTAATAGTTCTACCACGTGTTGATAAACACAGAGTACAACGATATGTATTTATTTCTTTATAAGCACAAGTGGATTATTGAACCAAGATATAGTGTTGGTACTATGTGACATATACTAGTGTAGAAGAAACCAAAGAGATGTAAACCCCAAAGTGAGGCATTAGATAAAGTGAACCCCATTTGTATAGACAGATTTTGGTAGCACAATTGTCGCATACGATATGAAAACCGTGTGGATTCATAGTTAATAGTTTTAGTCATTCATAGACATATAAATACATGTCTGGCTTGGCAATATCGGTCTACGTCTGGACTGCCAACAGCATCACTGTCTGAAGAGATCACCATCACCTTCAATACATGAACCTCGATGAGTAATACATCCATATGGTAGAGCAGAGAAAATTGTATCTGGGAATGGGACATAACCAGGTTTTCAAGGTTCAACTGAGGTTGTTGGATTGGATAAAGTAAAATAAATAAATAACAAGTGATCTCAAATGGCACGCGCTGAGGATATGTGTTAGATACAACTAACGTTATGCAAATGTATTTGTTATACTCTGTGCGTGTGTGTGTGTGTGTGTGTGTGTGTGTGTGTGTGTGTGTGTGTGTGTGTGTGTGTGTGTGTGTTTGTGTGTGTTTGTGTGTGTATGTGTGTGTGTTTGTTGCTGCTTGTACTAGTCCGGACTGATGCCGATTTATAGTGCAAGCTCAGTGAGATACCATGCCGCAGTTTAACATGAATACCCCACTAAGTATACTGACTCCGAGCCAACCAGTCCTTGTTTTAGCCCTTAATGTCGTGCGCCGGACAGGGTAACAATAAGTACCATCTTTTAACGTCTTTTGGTATGACGCGGCGGGGGTTCGAGCCCAGGACCTTCCGCTCTCCGGGTGGACGCTCTACCACAAGACCAAGGAGGCGGCTGTTATACTTAGGAGGTAGACTGCGCGTTCAGTTACAAATTCAATTTTGCGAAGTTAAATCTAAGGTAAACTAGCCCTTCAATGTAAAAACAGTATGTTTTTCTCCATTCTACCATGAGTGAATAGAACGCGTACTTTTTGGTGTAGCAAATGTATCCAGTCCAGTGTTTTGAATGGGTTGTCAATCTAAATTACGGAATCAGCTACAACAGCCTGTAAACAAAATACATATATCCTGAAGCAGTTTGTTAACACCTTTAACATATTTCACTCGAACATATGACAGGCATTGAAAGCATATAAGGACGGCAACTTGGGAGGCTAATATGAGGCGGGCATGCCTAAAGAAAACTAAGCAAGCTTTGCAAGGCTTTTGCTCTACACCGCATGCCACCATTATGAAGTCATTTCGTTCATTGTGACGCAAAACATATGACGTCACAGTCGTACATAGAAAAGCGCCAAATTCTAAGTTCTCTGTTGTCTCCAAAACTTAAATAATTCTCTTTGTAGATTTCTATCGTCTTTTCTGCACTAAATGTACACTTGGTATATTGTAGCAGCCGCAACTTTGCATTTTGTAACCTGTAATGGTAGATGTAGATTGACAATGACTGAAAAAAGTACTTTTTCATGAACATTACATGTAGCCTCCGCGGTGATGCGGCCGTCAAACCAGCTGTTTCAATCAGAGGGGGTTTCGTGTGATTTAATAGCCTCTGATTGACCCATCAGATTTGAGTAATTTACCAATCCATGGTAGAATTACTAGTATATAATGATTATCATTATTAAATGGGAATGATATTTGTACACCATACTAAGATATTCTGATATACTTACGTAGTGAAACCGAAAACTCTTTCTTTCAAATAACCAGCAGCCAATCATCAGACGTGAAATTAAATCTTTCCACTATACATCTTTAAAAATACTGGTCCCCATTTGACCTCCTGAGCATTGCACTGTTTATGAATTGATGTCGTTAGAACCTATCCCAATTTCACTTCTAACCTCTCTTATCACATACATTACGTCGCACAATCTGCCATTGTCGTAGACATGGTGTTCAAATGCGTCCACTGTGCACTAATATAGAAGAAACATTGTAGACAATACATTGTCAGTCGTCAGTAATGTCAATGTGCGTTTGTTAGAGCTGATCAAAGGGAGGTAACTCTATCGACTCTGTTTCCAGTTTTTCGAACATGGATAAGGAAATGAGACAAATCCATGTACACTTAGAGTAAAGTAGTAAGACTGGGACGCAAGTTTGTATACAGGCACATATACACATTGCACAATATGGAGGCAGTATAGCACCTTGAACACAGGATGAAGATGATAACAATGTCCAAATATGTATGTTGATCAGTCCAATCAGCATATTTTCTTCATCTCTTTTGATACACAAGGAACATATGTGCGACAATCATGTGGCTTAGAAAACAGGAAACATACTGACGCACGCACGCACGGACACGGGACAAAATATACAGTTTCTTTTTCTGTTAATTTGTATTGCTTATTGGGAATGTCAAGTGAAATACAAGTAATGTCGTCAGGTGTATAAGCGTAAAACAAACAAGAAAGAGTATCCACATATTTGTGCTTTCAGCAAGGATCTTCGGATTTTCGGATTTTCAAAATCGATATTAAGATATGGCGATTGTCTCACTGCAGTGTAATGATATGAATGGGTCACTGAAAGACAATGATGACAGCAGGTTTTCGTAAAATGGTGAGCATGCCCTGCTCTACTGGTAACACCCGCCACTCCCACAAATTTACTGAAGAAAGCGTGCAATGTTCCTACCACGACATTGGCCTGACCATGAACATTTCTGGACCAGTGATCATTATCATGAGCAATATCCACGTCGTCCGGGTTGCCAGTCGTGACCATCCGATTCATTAAAATGAGTCCCATTAAGTTAGGAGGAGTGAAACGTCCCTGTAGATGCATTGAATAGCATCGCGCATAACTTTGACAACGTTGTTATATTTGCTAACATCCTTTGAATGTCTACCATTAAATGTGTGGAATGACTTGAAGAAGCCTTTGATGGTGCAAACAGAACTTGAAATACTTAGTCCTATGAACGTTATAAAATGTAAGAGGGGATG